TGACCAAATGACCGGCTGTTTGTAACATGACCTCTACCCTTTTCCTAAATTTAACTGCAGTGCTGCTGAGAGCTCGGTATTGTTCAAAATTTTTGATTGGCTTTGAAATGTGAACGGTATATTTTTTCAATACCTTTTTTAAATGTGAAAAACATATTTCTTTATGTAAAATAAAAAACACACTTTTACAAAAAGAAAATGACAACAACTTTTTAATTTATAGGAATTTATGTTTTTTCAAGGGAATACAAAAAATCTGTTTTTCCAGAGTTTGCCATGCTGTAGCAACGGGAGGTTCTGATGCAGGATGTCTGCATACGTACCTTTATATAAAGCTGCACTGTGTAAGTTTTGGGGTTTTGGAGACCTCTCTGGTGGAAGTGTGTAATTGCATGCGGCGTGGGGAAAACACTTTGTAGCATGGATTGTGCTTTGTGCCCCTTCCCCAGGTGGATGAATCTGATGATTCTCCCTTCAGACTAAACACAGGTGATAATGATAACTAAAGGGTGGAGCTGGAAAGGCAAGATGGGGTTTAATAGCGAAACACCATGTAAAATATAACAGGTTTTAAGCAGATTTTGACTGTGTAGTAGTGGAGGGTTTGCTGCTATCAGCCAATCAGCAGTCTAGGTTTTGGAGCAAGCATGTTTATTGGCTCACATATGCTGGTAGAACTGACTGTTTAAGCATTGAAATCTGGTTTTTAATAACATGTATCCAATATCGGTATGTGTATCGTGACACCCCCACAGGTCAGGTCACAAAGTTCGGGTTCGGGTTCCAGTTCCATGCCTGTGCTCCAGTTCTATGTCGTCTTGTTGGCCTCTGTGCGCTCCTGGGTGGGTTGTGTGTGATTTACAGGTTTGTGTGGGCTGTTCTGAGCTGATTGTCAGCAGTTAAGAATGCAGTATTTGAACTAAATAGCAGTTTTGTTGTTGCTCTTTAGTCACAACCACACCAGCCAAAATGAGCAACTTCTGAGGTGCCTCCTGATGACACCATCCACCAGCCCTGCGATCCGGCAGCACTTCTTTATGGCATCACTCCTAAAGGAATGTGCTCTGTTCTGCTCTCTCATTCAGTGTTTGCAGTAATGGAGGGGTGCTGGTGTGTCTGTAGCTCTTTAGTGGGTTTCCGGTTTAACAGGTGACCACAATTATAAAAAGGCCTGTAAATGACTGTATATGTGAGCTTGTCAGAGAATACAAGCATATATGGACTCAACTTGGACATGTAGTGGAGAGCAGGAAGCACAGGCCTGTGCCCAGTGACTGTAAACCGCTTTACCGTGGTAACAGCCTCCAGTGATGGTTAAATCTCACTTAGTAACAAGTTTAGAAACCTGTTATTCATTACAGTTCTGTGGCCAAATTGAAGATGACGGTATAGCGCAATCACAGCTTTTACTGATTGCCGCTGTTATTATCCACAGAGATTACACTTCTTACACTGTTTCCTTCTGAATACTTCAAGCCAAGGGACCGTCTCAGAATTACCAGACGAAAAAGTGTTGCTGTTGTTATTTGTGATTAACAGCTTGTGTCATGTTCATACAAGTCAATTAGCAACACCTTATTAACCACAGCAACACCCTAGCAGCCATCAAGGATACCATAGCAACCGCCTAGCAACACCTTAGTAACTACTTGGGATACTACAGCAACCAACTTGGATACTATAATAGCTGGTTATCAACACCTCTTTAGCCACCTAAAATTCTAGTTTGTCGTATATTTTTCTTTTTCTTTTTATTTGTAGTTCTCAGGATATCGACATCGTTCCATCTCCGATATGTTCTGTCTGATTTGGAATGATGTGCTTGCATACAGCTTTTTTATCAGACGTACAGTTTTAATACAGTGATTGTTAAATGACGACTTTTCTCTCCGTAGGAATGACTGATGGAATTGTGTGTGTGAAAATCTGTACACTCCATTTACATTACGACAAGTACACTAGCAACATCCTAGCATCCATGTGGGATACCATAGTAGCTCCCTAGCAATGTCCTGGCCATAGCTATCACTTAGCAAAGCATTAGCAACTACCTGGGACACCATAGCACCATTTAGCAAAACGTTAGCAACCACCTGGGATACCATAGCACCATTTAGCAAAATGTTAGCAACCACCTGGTTCACCATAGCAAACACTTAGTAAACTTAGCAACACTTAGCAACATTCTAGCATAGATGTAGGACACCATAGCAACTACTTAGCAAAACATTAGCAACCACCTGGGATACAAGGCCCTGATACCAATTAAAAGGAACTTCACCATTATTAAACGGTTCAGATGTAAACAGAGTCGTTCAGAGTGGTTTGGTGTGAAACGCTCAGTTCTAGAGAAACTTACCGAGTCAGATTTGTTCACAGTGGTGGTGATAGGAACCAGACGTCCACCTCTAAAAGCTCCCTCACAGAAAGTTACTACATAAGGTTATGAATTCACTGCCTGATGACTGAGACACTGTTTTATGATAGTTTTGAGAACTTGCAGGGCGCTGTGAGGCAAAATAGTCCCCAAAGAAAACATTATTTCAGATTTTCCACTATTTTCCATCATCAACATTCCATATAAGCTCAGAAGACTCGTGTAGGTTCACTGGTGGTTTTGATAGTAAATAAAATGTCTGTATTTGTGTTGTAGTCATGGCGACCCCGGGTTCCTATCACCACCACTGTAAAGACATCTGAACCATTTCACACCAAACCACTCTGAATCACTCTGTTTACATCTCAACCACTGAATTATTCAGAAATTTAGAAAATTTCCCCTTCTAAATGACCGATTCGCCAGGTGTGCCAGGTTCATTGAGTTTGTAATGAGGATATAGGAGCTTTAATTTGTCCAGACTGACTTGGAAATGTTGGCGAATTTGCGTAAGAAAGCAGTTAAGCAAGAAAACAAGCAGTGTGTGTGTGTGTGTGTGTGTGTGTGTCCGAAGCTCAGCTGAAAATGTGCCTATTCAGAGAGGAAGGCAAGTGTGGCGAAACATGTGATTGTTTCAGAGAGAGAGAGAGAGAGAGAGAGAGAGAGAGAGAGAGACTCATTTCATAAGTTCTGAGTATTTAAGCATTCGAACAGTAAAGCCAGTCAGACGTGATTAGCTACGGGGCCAAGCGCCCGGAGCACTTTCAAATTGGCATTCTGGTCATTTATTCACCCCTCTTTCATGCGTTTATCCACTCATTTTGGAGAAGAAAAGCCCCTGCGGGCTGGAGAGATCAGCTGGCCGATGTTTTGTTGCTTTTATCATGTGAGAATGACACCAAGTTTTGCTGAATGAAAAAGATACCCAGAAAAAGCTGCTTACAGAACCTTCACCTCAATAGAGAAGAGCACATACACTGTGTGTGGATCATTCCACTGAACTGCTTCAGTGTCAGAGCTTAAAAAATACATTTTAACTGACTTTAGACCAGAATCCTTTTGCTTTGAGTGACTGTATACCTTAATTATGATTACGTCATTAAAACGAATGAAAATTGCCTTTTGTCACTACTAAAATAATCATAACACTACTAAAACCAAATAGTGCCTTTGTTCAATAGTGAGTGTTTCGGTAGTGACAATTTTAGCTCATTTTGAGCAGAACTTAAAAACGCAGCCAGTAAATGACCAGCAAACACAGCTTTGAACAGCTATACACATAAAATTAGCATGTTTCTCATTAAAACACAAAAAAAATCCTTAATTGCAAAAATGTGTTTCATTCTTAATGTTTCACACTGATTTTCAGACTTCGGGACACATTTACTTCAAACCAATGGGATCTAACTGCTCACCATGTGAACATGAGGGACAGGGTTGCAGGCTCACCTCCTGCCCTAAAATGCAGGGGCGTGGCTTAAATAAGGCCACAGATTAAAACTTTGTGTTGCGGTACTGACATGAAAATGTGGGACAGCATTTTTGGAATAAACACTTTTTATTTAAACATTAAACTCATTATAAATCTAAATCGTTAAATATAAATTTAAAAGAAATCAAAAATAACAAAAATTAAAATAAAAAATATATAACGAAAAAAATGAAAGAAAATGTAGGCATTATTTTCTCAAGCGTAAATTTAGGGGTTGGAGTTTGAGACAGACATCTATCAATAGTATGTACCCTATAAATTTTGATTTTGTATATATTTGGGTTATTACTATCTGTATTAATGTCTTGGGTTTAAATAGATCAGAACATTATTTATGTTATTATTTATGTATTTATATATATATATGTCGCTGTTGTCGGAAGAAAACCTTCTCCATTTATCTCCATTTTTGACGTTTTCCAGTTTTTGACATAATTTGAAAATACCTGTTGTCCTTTACACTGTATGTAAATTTCATGATGAATGGACCAAAAGAAACGGCCCAAAATGACTTGGAAAAAATTCTGGTTCCATTGACTTACATTAAAAGTAAAGTATGTTTTTTCCTTCTTCTGTAAAGATACCATTTCGGAGATTAGAGAGGTTTTCTTCCAACAGCAGCGATATATGTATATATACATATATATACATATTATAAGAAGCGTATTAATGGGTTTGACGTTTCTTACCTTTAGAGGGCACCAGTGAGTAATGCTTGTTTATTTGAGCTCAATTAGGTGCTACTAAGTATCGACAGCTAGGAAGCACCTTGGCTAATCAGCCAGTTTGGCCACTTTAGTCTTGCATACAATGAACAAAAAGCGGTTCATCCCAGTTATTTACATATCCGCTATTGCCATGAAGGTGACAGGCCGAACGCTAATGCTACAAGACAGATCAACTGGAGCTTGTAAAGCTCTTGCAGTGGGAGCCTCTGAATCACCTGCTGCGCTGCGCGGACGTATGACTGCGGTGTGGTATGAAAGTGCATTGTTTAGCGCTGCTCAGAATCAGGAAACAGGACAACAAACGGCCTTTATGAAACAGCAGATAACCTTTCCGAGAGTACTGCGTGTGAGCGTGTGAGCATGCGAGAGAACCTTAAGTGGTGAATTGGATCTGGAAGTGGGAGTTGGGCGAGGCAGATACTCTCTCTCACACATACGCACAGTTGGCCGGGTGGGGAGAGAGAGAGGCCTCAGCTGTCGGTGCGCGCGTCTCGGGTGACCGTGTCTAAAACTGTACGGCTAAACGGCTGGAGTAACGGTCAGCGTTCAGCAGTCATGGATTTGGGGAAGCCGGAGACGCTGGTGAAGGAGCAGCAGCTGAAGGTGAGGCTGCGGGTGCTGTAACTGCTCATCTGGTAACATCTGTAACGTTATGGCAGTCCGTTTGGTTTGGTGTGTAGAGCTGATGTTGGCTGTGTTGTGTCTGTGTCGATGTCTGTGGAGATGACCTGGATTCTGTGGATGTGAAGTTGTAATGAAATGGTAGTGATTAAAGTTGTTTTTCAACCTACGGTCAGTTACTATGGACAAAAGGTGCTTCACTTTCAGAAAAAAGGATGTACAGCACTTCACTGGTTCCTTTTTGAGAACATCTTCAGCACATTTAATCATAGAATATAATTGTACCACATTCTGTACACTTTAAAACTCACTTAAGGGCCCAAATCCTACATTCCTCATGTCTTCCCCCCATTTTTAGTCCACGTCTAACAGTTTTATGCACCAGAAACAGCTGTAATTCATTCTTACCTGACCTCTCTTTATCCCTATTTATAACCGAACCGGCTGTGCCTTTAAGGCATATGTAAATGAGCTCTGTCCTAACTGACTGTGCCTCGTTCAAAGGGCTGAAACACTCCTTATAACTTCACCGTGAGCTGACAGGGCTAAACTGCTGCAGGCCGAATGGGCAGATAGGTGTTTTTGTGACATCACAACGGTGAATTCCAAACTGGACTGGTGGACTGGGGACGTTTTGGCAGTTATATAGTGTTTATATTCTACATTAAACTTTTATTTTTAAAAAAAGGGAGGGAAATTTTCCATAATATGGGCCCATCGAGATACACTAACAGGCTTAAAGCCGTACTTTTCAGGCTACATGCACGTTGTTGGTACTTTGAACAGAATTGAACCTTTATTCTGTCGTAATCAGTGATTTGTGTCTCTGATTTAGCCGTAGCTCATTTCCATAAGCACTTCTAGGTGACAGACCTGCTCTTTAAGTGGATCCTTATCGCAGATGTTAGATCAGTGATGGAGGCCTTTTTGTGGCTGCTCTAACTTCCTCTGTTCGCACTCAGTCGATCTGTTGAACCCTTCGGATTCAGAAAACGCATTAAAACCCACAGCTCAGTCACTTGAAGTCTTTTGCCTTGCCTTTATTTAGCTAATTTAGTAGTTACAGCCTGAAGCACCCAGCAAATAGACTGTAGTGAACTGTCAGCTCCTGCATGGTATGTAAAACATAAGAAATAGGATTTAAAAAATGGATATAATGCTTACTAACTCTCAAAAATATTGCTAATACTGAAAAGCAAGTACCCTATACCATTTATAGATGAACCTGGCGGGATCCTGCTGCACCGATACAAACACGTACATTAATTATATCACTGCTGTCGGGACAAAACCTTGCATCTCCATTGTGATCCTTTTTCAGTTTTTGACCTAATTTGAAAATGCCTGTTGCTCTTTACATTGTGTGTAAATTTCATGAAGAATGGACCAAAAGAAACGACCCAGAATGACTTGGAAAAAATTCTTGTTCCATTGACTTACATTAGAAGTAAAGTATGTTTTTTGCTTCTCCTGTAAAGTTACCATTTTGGAGATACGAGGTTTGTTTCGAAAAATATGATGGACGTATCATATTGTATCGCAGCATATTGTATCATGACTAGCGTGCTAGCTTGTGGCTAGAGCATTAAACACACGACACTAAAAGGGCACAGCTTTTGTTTCGAATATTGACTTTTATAATGTTGTTATAATGCCACTTATTTCTGCTGTATCTCAAAATATATCACGGGATCAAATCGAATTATGAATGTTGTGAATCGTTACACCCCACACAATTACCATCTGTCCTAATCTGTTCATGATGGTCATACATCACTTACAGCTTACATTGCGGATGCTGTGATAAGTTGTGTAATCCAATCAGCAGTGTTGTTCTCTTTATTCACTATGACTGTGCACATAGTAGGTTTTAGGGTGTATTGAAACTGTAAGTCAGGAAATGCTACTGATTTTACTGCAGGTCACCGTGACTACAACACAAATATAGCCATTTTATTTACTATCCAAAGCCACCAATGAACCTACACGAGTCTTCTGAGCTTTTATATGGAATGTTGATGATGGAAAATAGTCATAAATCTGAAATAATATGTTTTCTTTGGGGACCCTGCATATATCCCTCCACCATGAATGGATTAAAAAAGGTTTAAATCTGTAACCTTATCTCAAAACTGTAGCAAAACTCAGGCATCATCTCAGGCATCAGGCAGCATCTTCATAACTACTTTCTGTGAGGGAGCTTTTAGAGGTGGACGTCTGGTTCCTATCACCACCACTGTGAACAGCTCTGACTGTAAGTTTCTCTAGAATTTCCCACCAAACCCACCACAGTGACCTTTTTATTTTAATTATGTAGAAATTTGAATAAATTGGTGGAATTTCCCTTTAATGAAACAGAAGGAGACTGGTCTTCTGATGCGCTACGTGCACAATCGCACAGATGGTGAATTTGAACCATATTGTGTGTTGTAGTTTTGTGTTCCACAGATAAAGGGATAAAAGATTCCCTGCTGGCTTTAGAGGGATCTGCAAATAGACCTGGCTGAGAATGGAATGGGTCTGAAACACGCTCACATGGACATACTGTACTGCACCCACCACTGCAGCCAGACCAGCTCACCGGCCTCTGGAATGACAAACACACACAGGCCGCTGCTAGGGGCTGACCTACAGCTGTAACTGGAGCCGCACTGTTTCCTGATAGGTGTGTGTGTGTGTGTGTGGGTGGGGGAAATGGGTAGGGGAACCCTTGTGCGAGAGGTTAGATTGGTCAAGGACAGTAAAAACGGACAGAATGTGTGTGTGTGTGTGTGTGTGTGTGTGTGGGTGTGTGTGTTAGCAGTCCGGTTTTGCTCACATATGAGGACATCTAAGATGAATTGATGGATTGATGGATTGATGGATAGAAGGACAGGACAAATGTTCTTATCATGAGGTCACCATTGCCTAATGGCCGGTGCCCCTGGCCACAACATTTAACACTTTGACCACTACAAATGCAAAGCCTGTGGCCAGAGTGGTAAAAAAGCAAACAAAATAGAAGTAAAAATAGATACAATACTTAATAATTATCAATCAAAATAGAAGTTAAAATGGATGTAATACTTAATAACTGCCAATCAAAATAGAAGTAAAAATAGATATAGTAGTAATTATCAAACAAAATAGAAGGAAAAATAGATAGAATACTTAATGATTATCAAACAAAATAGAGGTAAAAATAGATATAATATTTAATAATTATCAATCAAAATAGAAGTAAAACTAGATATAGTAGTAATTATCAAAGAAAATAGAAGTAAAAATGGATATAATACTCAATAACTACCAATCAAAATAGAAGTAAAAATAGATATAGTAGTAATTATCAATCAAAATAGAAGTAGAAATAGATATGGTAGCAATTATTAAACAAAATAGAAGTAAAAATTGATATAATACTTAATGATTATCAAACAAAACAGAAGTAAAAATGGATATAATACTTAATGATTATCAAATATATTGCAAAAAATATTGCTAATACTGAAAAGCAAGTGCATTATACCATTATGGATGAATCCTAATGTGCTAATTGAAACATGTACATTTATTACATATAATTACGAAGATGTTTAAAAAAAAAAGCTGCGGCATGAAGTTTGAGTTTTACATTATTATTATAATTATTGGCTAGTTGTAAAGCAGAAATCTGATTACTGCCTGACTCATGTAAACCCGGAGTTTCCCCATTATCTGATCACTCAAGTGCATGTAAATGTGTTGATCGGATTACTGACAAAATATGATTTTCTGCAGTTATCAGATTAAGTGCATGCAAATGCACTCAGTGATATGGGAATTTTGGGCTGATATCAATGTTTACCAATGTTTTTCATATATATACATGCATGTATTTAAGCAAAAAAAAAAAATATATATATATATATATATATTTATTTTTCATTTTTACCACAACATTAGTTCCTATCTGTCTACCCCGGTTGTGAGTTCACAGAATAAAGTAGACAGTCATGTTCTCGAAATGCAGTGCTTTCCCCTGTAGAGGAAGTGAGACGTCCTCATGAGGAAGTGCTTACCTGAACTGTAACAAGATCAGAGCTCTGTGCACACACACATATACACACACACACACTTTTAGATCACTGTGTGTGGACGGTGGTGAGAGATCAGTTGCTCTTCTGCTAACCAGGTGAGAAGTGATAAGCCGTTTCGTTGGTAAAGACGGAAGTAAAAATCAATTGGTGGTCACTCTGGACTCCACTGAACTGTGATTGATAGTGGAGTGGAGATCAGTTCATTTATAAATCCGTTCAGTTCTAATCAGTTCGGTTCTGTAACACTGTTCTTATCAGTTTAGTTCAGTTTAGTTTTGGCTCAGTTCTCTTCAGTTCGGGTTCGGTTCAGTTCTGATCTTTTACAATCGATTCACCTTTATTCTTCTGTTCAGCCAAGTTCTTATCAATTCAGATGACAAGGAGGAACCAGTAGTACCACATTTGAGGCCAGTGCCCTCAACTCTGCACCGTCACTCAGTTCCTTCCGCTGTGGTCAGAAGACTCTCCTCCTCAGGCAGTAACACCTTATTACACTCATTCACACTTTATTTCTGAATCACTGTGTAATCGTCAGTCTTCAGCACTTTATCTGCGTCTTTCTCATGAATTTCCGCGTCTACACTTCCCTTTATTTATTAAACCCCTAAAATCTCAGGCTTATTACACACTAAGGCTTATTAGTCAGTAACTACAGGGAATTCAGTGCAAGCTGGCTGAGCTATTCTAAGGTTATAGAAGTGTGTAATAAAGCTTTGGGCCCTGGCCATGTAAGGGGTTAATTAGATCAAGCTATGGTCCAGTTGATTTGAGGAATACGAGAAAGCTGCACATGTTTCTAGATTGTGGCTGAAACATTGTCTTTAAGTCCATTTAGTGTGAATCTTCTGTGTTAAATTTCTACACTGTCCTTTATGGGCCAGTTATGGTCACTGATGATGAGTGGTTATGGCCAAAAATGTATAT